TTTTTCAAATCTGCTTTACTGTGTGAATAATTCAATCGGAGGAAGAGAGTTCTAATTTTAGCTTGTAACATCCATTTTGATTATTTTAGCTATGATTATGGTAATTTTAGCTACAATTTTGCAACTTTTATCATCTAGCTATTGCAAATATGTTGAGGTGCATTGTGGGATCTCTTCTCCTAATCCTTCAAAATAAGTCGCGTTAAAACAAAATATAAAATAAAGATCTGATTCCAGCTGCTTAAACCTGAACCCTTCCCTTCTTTTGATCGTTTCTATAATAATTGTAGTAAAAACAAAACCTGTATCTGATTAACATAATTAGAAAAGATAATTAAAACACAAAAATCTATTTAAAAAAAAACAGCCCTAAAATTAGCACACAGGCTCTTGTTTAGAATTTAAAAGTCTTATTTAAACAGTAGTTATAAAATGTCAATTTGTAAATTTGTTGCATGTCAACATATACGAACTCAAATATTTATATAAATTAAAAAAAACGGCTGTTTTTAATACAATTGATTACTTGGACATTGATTTGATGTTCATCAACTACAACCTAAAATTTAGTCAGAATACCTGAAGTTTGTATCAGCCCAAACTAAAAATAATCAAAGATTTTCTAAACACTCAAAACAAACAGCCGATTGTTTGTGTTTTTCTTGACGCACGGTTAAATCTAGCCTGTTGTGTGGCGTTCCGCTCCTCAGAGCTCAGGCCTGCGAGCCGAAGGCCCAGCGGTCCGACTGGGCTCCTCGGCAGCTCAGCTGAGACGACGGCGCTGCTCTGCTCTCACGCCTCACTGCTTCTGGATCTCTGACCTACTTTCCTGCCCGCTCTCCACCCCGAGCTCGCTCAGCCTCCCCATCCGAGCAGCTCTGCCTCGGAGGGCCAGAAGACGACGGAACCTCTACTTTCATTTTGTTCTCTGAGGGTGGGTCGTGCTGCAGAACCGCGTTACTTCCTGCTCTGCAGAGGCAAACGGGTCCTGATGCTGGCAGCCCCACCCTTCCTGCACATCCCTCTATCAAAGAATTTGTTCTTCGTGCTCACGCCTGGTTAAATAAAAGTTCAATAAATTAAAATTAATTAACTGTATCCTTTGAGGTTCACGTCCACTTTGCAAAGTTAAAAACGCTCACTGACATTTTTTTAAACGCTCTGGGTGAATGTTTATAAACAAACGAGCTGAAGTGTCCATGCACGCTGCTAATTGACCGAGCAGAAGAACGGCGTTTAAAAACGAGCCGAACGTCTGAGCAGAACCTTCAAACCAACTTTTCTGTTGGCACGATCCGTGCAGGAGGAAATATTTGGTTAAAACTGAGTAATAACGTTTTCTAAAATCTGAGTTAAACCACAGAAGACAAAAAACAAACAGCCAGGAACAGAAGCTAAGTGTTAACTAAAGGAATGCATATCACCCGCTGCCTTTCATGCCAGGGTTTTAAACACAAACCATCTCATAACGTGAAGTAAAAGACAGTTTTGATAAAAACTTGAAAGTAACATTATGGACACGACCTGGTAGAACTTAAAGTATGTGTTGTGGATGTGGATTATGGATGTGTCTATATGATGTGTTAGCTCCAGAGCTAATGGTGTTAGCTCATTTTTTATGGCATTAGCTACGGGGCTAATAGCAATAGTTAGCTCCAGAACTAAGTGTTAGCTCCAGGGCTATAGTGTTAGCTCCAGAGCTAATATTATTAGAGTCAGAGCTAATAGTTTTAGCTCCAGAGCTAAGTGTTAGCTCCAGGGCTATAGTGTTAGCTCGAGAGCTAAGTGTTAGCTCCAGAGCTAAGTGTTAACTCCAAAGCTAATAGTGTTAGCTCCAGAGATAGTGTTAGCTCCAGTGCTAATATTGTTAGCTCCAGAGCTAATAGCATTAGCTCTGGAGCTAATAGTGTTAGCTCCAGAGCTAATAGTGTTAGCTCCAGGGCTATAGTGTTAGCTCCAGAGCTAATAGCGTTAGCTCCAGAGCTAATAGTGTTAG